TTATTTGTAGCTTGACTTGATGAAAAATTAGAATTTATTAGTTATTCAAATATCTAAGACGATCGTCTGCCTTAACACTGTAGGGTGCTGGTGTGTTACATTTAACAGAAAACTCAATTGCCATAATAATAACAATAATATTAATAATAATAAAGTTAGACTAAAACTCATTGGAAGTTATTATTGGTTTTAAAATTTATTTTATTTGAAATATAAAACAAGGCAAATATATAATATATATATAGACATTCTCAGTTCCTTCATGTCATGCTAGTTGTTGTTAGAGGAACTGTATGAGTTACATTAACTTTAGTGTGCAGGCATTTTGATCTACAAAACGAGAGGCTAAGTCAGAATTTAAAAAAAAGTACTTTTGTGATAAGAGAGGAGTTTCTTTTCAGTTCACTAATGTCTTTGACAGATGTTTTGTAACATGAGGAAATATATGTGAATGATCAAAGTTGTGCCACCATGACCTCAACAGACAATTTAACTTATAAAGATTGTCAGTGTTTCCGAATAAGTATTTTAAGATTCGTCTGTCTACTTTGGTTTCTCTGTCATGATGATGGGGTAAATGAGTAGTTCTCATAAATGTGATTTACTGAGGCCTCCCATACAGGAAGCAAGAGCTCTCTTCAGCCAAATGACAATACCACTGAGAATTTTTTTTCTTATCAGATATTGGAGCACATTTTCCTTTAACAGTTACCTGTAACAAAAAGTCAAACAGAGCAAGTTTGCTCCATTCATAGTGATGAATTGCAGAGCAGCCAGAATCAGACTTTGGGCTGATGTTTTGTTGCCAACATCTCTGTTTTAAGGGAGTTCTGGTACTCCCCCATGTTAACTTCAAACTGGTCAAACCTGCAGCAAGGCCTGCTGGGTATAGAGATGCATCCCATGACACAACTGGACAGGACTGCCCATCTAAAGAGGGAGGAAAGAATAATTACATGCTTAGATTTTAGCAGCTGTTTCTGTTATTAACCAGAAAAAGTCTATAAACACTTTTTACACTCATGTTACCAAACTTATTCCCTGCAATGATGAAGACTGTCCACACACCGATTATCATATTGCACCCCAGACCAAATAATGAACTAACTCATAGACATGTAAAAATATTTCTAAATGTATTATGCTAAAAATAAAAAGAGACAGACATTTCCCATAGATGGAAAAAAAATGGTTATGCAAGAAAATGAGGAAAGAGGGCAGAGGTATCCTGTCACTAGCTGAATATGGCCCCCGAAATCTGTTTAAACCCTTGGGCTGACACTTTGTGACGTCATCATGTAAAATACATTATTTGCGCTATTTATGAAAAAGGAGGATGTTAGTACTTTTGGTCCTCTCTTCCCCTGAATATGTGTATAAATGTGTATTCCCTCAGTTTTTGTTCCTTCTTTACTATTAATGTTATAAAATGACAATGAGCAATGTGAATAATGTTTTTCCATTGAATATGAATTAGGATTAGGTAGTCTTGCTCAAAGATCTAAAAAAAAAAAAAAAAAAAAAAAAAAAAAATATCACATCCACGAGGACACAATGTGCAGGTGACGTTTTGGTGTCCACCCCCAAAGAACAAGGTTCTTCTTGATTCCAAGCCTGAATGAATCTGTATTTCACATAGACCCCATTAGTGGGTTAAGGTAACAAATAAACAGTTTTTATGGTATGGCTAATCTGTAGGTTGCAGTTTCTGTCGCTATATCAATAGATACTGTAGTGACATTTGCACAGTATTCTTAGCATGATGAAACCAGGCAATGTAGTTAGAATAACCATAAACAAAACCGTATATTTTTAACAAGTGTCAAAAAAGAAAACTTTGTCCATGTGCTTGATGACCTACCGTATAAAAAGCGAAACTTTCTGCTTACAGCTGGCAACGTCCTATTAAGCCCCAGCACTCTGTCCAAATGAAAAGCAAAAACCTCTGTGGTATCCACCGGGCTGTGGATGACTCCACATTGCCCTCCGCATACAGTGCTCGTTTTTGCGTGCTGTTGGTTCGCCTGTTGAACGTTTGTCTCACCCTCAAATATCAGAAGCGAAAGAGCGTATCCATGAGAGACTTCTTTCATGCGCAAAACTTTGGCATCCGCAAGAAAGCGCATGGTTTTCACATCCTGTGCGCTGAACCATGGTGGCGGCCTTTGACTGTATATTCGAATTGAACTAATCTGAGAGTCTGCTTCTTCATGTTTATAAATTTTATGGCTTATATCCAGTGATTTATAGTCAACATCCATGGCTTCCTTCCGTGAAGTTATGGGTGCAAAGTTGCGCTTAATTTGTAACGCATCCCCCTCCAAAGTGCGACGTTTGTCCTGGGTAAAAGACAGATTGGAAGACTTATTTTTTCTCACTTTTCTCCTCACTTTGGGTCGGATTGTACCTCTTATATGTGCTGGTTTTCGACGCTTAGTTTTTAAGGTTATGTACACCACGTTGTAGCGAGTCGGGACTATGAAGCTCGAATCGTTCTGCAAGTCTAGAGAGTGTGGCTGGCCATCGTTGATCTCCAAATTATACAATCCACGGGTGTGCCGGTACTTCTCATCAATCCTTCGGCTCCGGTGCAGTTGCGAGTATCCAACTTGTGAAAACACAAAAAGCAGATAGATTACACAGACAGACGCAATTATCAAACTTCTTTTGAAAGAGGGCACCTGCGAAAGTTGCCGGTCAGTTTTAGAATAGGGAAACTTAGCCAACAAAAGTCAGACTTCCCCATTAGAATTTATGTCATTATCACGACTTTGTCCTTTTTGCGACAAACTCTTACTGGGGAGGAGCGCAAAACTTCCGAGGATTTCTGTGAGTAGAATGGAGGGCACAACTGCGCAGTGAATGGAGGGTCATGCTTGGATACCACCCTTCTCGGAAATGAGAAGCATTTAAACCTTATAGTTTTTTCTCTCCTTCTCTTCAGGTACAGACTTGGCCAATGAGAGCCTAAATTATCAAGTTTTTGTTTTTTAATTAATAATTCAGCCCCGAAAATAAAACACACACAGGCCATGTGATATTCAAACTTCATCAAGTGCACTGCAATATCCTAAATTAACCTTTGATATTTCTATGTCACGCTATTAAATCCACATCGAAGCCCATTAGGGTACACCACAACTCCTTATGAAGGTTTATAAGGGGTAATGTAAACGTGTTTTTGAACTTACGCGAGATATAGACATATTTTACAAAAACTGAAATAAGGAAGTTAAGCACTACACAACATATTAACTAGGTTGAAAATGAAATAGTTTAAAACTAAATATTTGATCGCTACATATTATTTGTATGCGTTTCAGGCGACATCTGGTGGTATACTGTCCTAATTCTTCATGGCAACTCCCAAAGCTGTTTACGTTGTGGAGACACAATAGCAGTAAAAAATTTCCTTAGGTGTTGGGAGAATGTGGGGTGGGCGCACCAGTCCACTTAGCCTACAGGATTTCCTTTTCTGAATTACAATAGTTGTGACCAGAGCTCGTCATATAACTACAAGTGCTGTTTTCCTTGTCATTCATGGCCGACAAAGAGTAGGCCTAAACTAGACGATGTTAGTTAAATAAATGTGTATATATATATATATATATATATACACTGTCGGCTATATATAAGCAAATACTATAAACAGCATTATTTTAAATGTCATAAGATAAATTACTCCAGAAAACAGACATGATAACAAGCCCTCATGGTTGTGTGTTTTCTTGTCTGTAAGTATATGCATATATGCGCTACATCCTCTGCAGCTGTTGTGTTACAAAGTGATTAGATAACTGGCAGCACCTGACTGACTTACCACTGCAGACCAGACAGCCTCCAGCAGTTTTTAATGTTGTAGACCTGAATTATCAAAAGCAAAACAAATATTCTGTTTTAACATGCTCCAAGCAAAATCCTTACTTTTTCTTTTATTCGTCTCTGCCTTATTGATTGCGAGCTGTCATATCGCTGAAGGTTTGTAAAGTATAATTGGTCTGTGATGAATAGGGGCTGCGTGTGGTTGCATTAGGTTAGTTTTTGTTTGAAGTCAGATTGTTCTTTAACCTCTTGCTGTAAAACTTTACAGGTGCAGAAGATGGCTACAAAAATGATGGAACCGGTGAACTGGAATCATTTAACATTACTTTTAACTCATCTAGGGCTATCTCACATTTTGCCTATGGAATTACTGCAAATATGGCTGCTGTATTTTGTATGGAAGCAACTTCGTTCCTGTCAAAAGAGTAGAGACTGGCGATGGTGAGCATATAATTGTTTATTTTCTGAGAGTTTGGATATTCTTATTTGTGTTATTTTTGGACAAAAGCTCCATTTTAAATGTTTACTTTCCAAGTGAGGAAAATCTACACTATTTTGCAAAGTTTTGAGACCATTTATCTTTGTGTTTTATTTACAGGTATGTTTTTTCAGTGGGTTACCTGTGCAGCAATATGGGTTGTATCTATGTTTGGAGACTTGATGCTTCAGTCACCCAAGTTCTGCCCATTTGCAATGCTTGGAGGTGTGCTTTGGGCCACAGGTATTGTGGAAGTTGGGGGGGGGGGGTTGTTGTTGTTTGTTTGTTTTTTCTAATTTAACAACAAATAGTTTAATGCCAAAGGTTCCGGAAACTGGACTCTGGTGTCCAGCAGGATGTTGTTCTAAAATTAGGTTATTGATAGTCCCTTGTTGGACATGTGAACAGTTTTAGGGGTGAAATCAGTGTGACCCAATTTCATGCTTTAAATTCATAATGCTATGTGCTTAACGTTGAACAGATCAATGGGTATTTAGAGTGCAATACAAAATGTCCCTAAAACTTTTGTAGTGGCGAGTATTCATTAGTCATGTTGTTAAACAACAAACTGTTCAGGGAATAGTGTGACATAGTTGCTGAGGCAAGAACTGGGACATTGCAGTTCTCCAGGGTTTTCAAATTTGCCAGATCAAAACGTTTTTTAAAAAAATGAATTTAAAATGAATTGAATTGAAAGCTGCTTCATCATAATCTTTGCCATACCTTACTAGACAGAATCAAGTGCCACAGATGGACACAGACTGTTTGTTTCATGAATATCTCTAAATATCAGATATTCACTAGATCCTCATTCAGGTTTGATAGCATTTGATAGTCGATGAGGGTAGATGGCTTGAGTATGAATTGAGGCTGGGGTTTGGGGAAGACTTCAGAGGGGACTGGGAATGGCTCCTGGGTCAGTTAGACTCCATGTACTAATGAGAAGTGAATAAATAAATATATTTTGCATTCAGATATAGCAATGGAAATGGTGCAACCCTAACTTTGTCAGTAACAGTTACATGTTAACTTCTTCCATCTATCCATATGGTCTACAGGAAATGTAGCAGTTGTTCCATTTGTTAAAGCTATTGGCCTTGGTCTTGGCATCTTAATTTCGGATCCTCTAATTTGTTGATGGGCTGGGCCAGTTCAAGGTGAGTTGAGTTAATGGAATGTACACTCTGGATTGTAAATAAAATAATCCTGTCTTTGCATGACTTGGATTGAATGAAAAATAACTGAATTGGTCACTGATTGTGTCTGTCCTAGATTTGGCTGGTTTGGGATTGCTGCACAGAACGTTTCACATCCAATATTAAATTATTGTGGAGCTGGGTTGTGTCTGCTAAGGTAAACCGCGTTTGGAATTGTAATGACCCAGCCTGTGTTGTTTATTTACCCCCACCCAAAACAGTGATGGCTACTGTCTGCTGCTGTCATTTTTCAAACCATATCAGCTGGATGTACATGACACTTTTTTTCCCTCCTTTGATTCAGTGGGCTGATCTTTTTCTTTGTGAAAGCGGATGTAGAGCTACTTCACAGTTCAGAAACAATTCCATTACTGATTGACAGAGTGAGTGTGTCACTGACTTATTTTTATCAGCTTGTCGAAGTAGGTTGATTTTAGAAAATACTTTCTTTTTATTTTCTTCCTATTCACTCAAGGCAAAAACTACTTTGTCTTAAAGCCTGTCATCACTTTATCACGTATTTTGTGTGGTGTACATACAAATTGGGTCGATGTTTCTCTTTGCAGAGAACAAATTCAGGAAGCTATGGACAAAATTCCTCTGAATCCTGGATCGACACTATTGGACCAAAGAGCAAACGATTCATGTGAGCTCATCTCAATAGGAGCCTCTCAGATGTGTGCATTATTACTATTAGCATTTTTCATTGCTGACAAACAATGGCTACAGCAGCCACTCTGTCATGGATTTTAAATCATAGATGAATGAATACAATTTTACGCTTTTTAATTATTGAAAAAGTAATAAAAAGTAAAACAATTCATTTACATTGCATCTTTTAAATGAAGGTCTTAGTTATTTGTTTAGAAGCTGCCTGCCAGTGTGGTTTTTAGGTGTAACAAGTTTTAAGTCATGACTAAAAACAGTTTCACACATGACAACCTTGCTCTTACTGTGAGTTTTTGTTTTAGCAGCAGAAAAAGACTTAAAATGTGAGCACCAGGCTGTAAATGTAACAGTCACAGCCGATATTCAATAAATGTAAAAAAAAAACAGAGTGCAAAAATAACATCACTTTTGTGCAGTGTTTTCCTGCATACCCATTTACCCAAGCACTGTCAGTTTTTATCGGCTCTTTGCAATATCTTGGAATTAACCATAGAAATTGAATGATGTATCAGTGGAGATTTAAAATGCATTCTTCATCCAGTTCCTCAATGTATTCTGCCTCCTTTTCACCAGTGGTTTTCTCCTTGCTGTTGTGGCGGGCCTCATGTATGCTTTCTCCATCATACCGGTCCTGTACATTAAGAGCAATTCTGTGCACCATGACAGCATGTTCTATGAATCCAGTGTCTATGGTATGTTTTCTACTCAGGTACCACTTTATGCTGCACTTTTTTTTTTTTTTTTTTTTTTTTTTGCAAAGCTGGCTTGAAGGAAGTATTGAAGAAAATACATTTATCATAGATATAAGGATGGATCCAGTTGCTGCTTGATGAAATACTAGTCCCTCCTGAGAACCAGGTGTAATATTTCCAACTTAATTCCCGTTTCTATCTTTCTATCACAGATCTCGACTATGTTCATGCACACTGCTGTGGTATTTTCATTGCAAGCACTGTGTACTTTGCCATCTACTGCGCTGCCATGAATACAAAGCCGAAGCTTTACTCCAGAGCTGTACTTCCAGGTAGAACATTATTTCTGAAAAGGCACTCTTCCAAAGCCTATTGTATGACCGTGATCTTTAGTAATTAATGATTGGGCTGCTTGGAACAAATTTGGAATTCTACTCAGGTTACTGAGTGATGATTTATTGTGAACAAGCAATCAATGTGTTTCCTTGAAGAGACTGAATTTATATTTTTAAATTACTCTAGCCTTTTTTTTCTCCAGTGTTTATGAACATGCACTTTGTATGAAAGCTTTCAGTAGCCGTTTTGTTTTTTGTTTTTTTGTTTTTTTCCTTTCCCATGACTGGAGGGGGGAATGTCAGTCCAAATTTTTCTAAAATGTATATTCAGTGACATGAAGTTTAAAGTGTGTGTGTGTGTGTGTGTGTGTGTGTGTGTGTGTGGTGTGTGTGGTGTGTTGTGTGTGTGTGTTGTTTTTTTTAATTATTGTTTTCTCAGCGTTCCAATTTTGAATAGTTACAATTTTGCGATTATGTGATGTATGTATGGCAAAAAAGTGGAAACAAGCTTCCATAGTTTTGTTTACTTTCTCTGAGTTCAGGTTCACACCCTACTTGTATACTGGCAGTCGATCAGCGTCACCCTGTTATTACTACTTATTGTGCCAGGTTGCCCTTTACTGTCACTTTTTCAATGGTCAGGGTTGTCAGATGGACTAGACACAAAAGGTAAGACTTTACCCAAAA